CGGCGGCTTCAATGTCGTGTCTTCCAAATGACACTTGATGTGATAGACATTTTCTTGCTGGAAATACTGCGCCCAATCCTTTGGGGCGCCTCGAATCTCCATTTCATTTGCGCACATGGTCACCACCACGGTGACCTTCACCGACAGAGCCTGGCAAATGTCTTCCAAGCTGCAGGCCGCTTTGATGCTGCTAAGCAGCACCGACGCTCGATCCGTAGGTTTGCAGATCACGGCAGCGTCCAATGGCCACTCCTCTATGGACCCGAAACAGTAAGGGTGCCAACAGGTAATGCGGTCAAGGTCAGTCCAACATTCTTTGTCGGCGTAAGCCTTCCTGATATCTTCTTCGCGCGCCGCTCTCCACTCACGAGCGCTAGTGGTCATGGCTGCCACTGTGATCGAACAAACGTTTCCTACCTTGAACACGACGCAAGCGATTTAACAGATCCGCAATGCACAACTACAGGTCATTCATCCGCAAGCCACGCGAACGACAACAATGCAAACACAACTACAGATCATTGCTTTAATCTACGGTTACAGCATGCAACGATGCCTTCAACCAGAGGTGCGCTAAGATCTAGCTGAGTACTTACTTCCAAGTCGGACACTGAGTTGCAAGCCGAAACTCGATGCCATGATGCTGTAGAACCACTGCTGTTTCCAGCCCTCCTCCATGGCATGCGTAACAGAAACTGCTGTACGAGCATATACGGAAAAAACATGCTCCTTACCATAATGCCGATGATCTCACCTGTTCACGAGTTTTCATATCGAAAATCTCATAGAATTCACCAAATAAGCTCGGTACCGCGATGCAGTGGATGACCTTCCTTAGTTGCACGACTTTCTCTGTACGGTGAAACTGTAAACAAAGGATAACAAAAGCGCGCAAACGAATGCTTATCATGATGGCACGGAAGACATCCTTTTCATTGCATTTCGCTCGATGCACGGACAGTCCCTGTAGCATCGAGCCCGTCAAAAATTCCGCGTTTAACAGATCACTCCTCGTTGGCTCGCACCTCCCGTTGGATGGACAGCAACTCGAAAGGTCGGGTCTGCACGAAGCCAGCGGCTCCACTGTCTATTCACTCTGCATAGGTTGTACCACCCGCAAAGTGAGATCCAAGCCAGAATCACCTGGAAACAATGCAAGTCCAGTCGGGCCAACGCTGGAGCTGCCAGCTTTGCGTCAAGCTTGGGAAGCCAGAATTGAGCCAGCATTTGTTTACCAACGCTGGAAGGGCGAGCAACAAGAGAGACCACAGAATTCTCATCCGCAAGCTCACGAAGAATAGTCAAACTCTCACGAGCCGCGAATCGGCGATGACCTTCCGCTGCGATGCAAATGTATCTTTTGTCACAACGTCCTCCATGATGCGTTTCTATGCGACCAACCAAGTCGCCCAGTAAATCCACCACAGTCATCCACTGCAGTACATGCTCTTGGTATAAGAGATCGACACTGGCATCCCGTGGGTCCATGTCGACTAGAAAATGAAACTCCGGAAGGGCACTCAGCTGCTGGAGAGGCCAGATGCTCAAACGAAAACAAATCTCTACCGACATGGGCTGTGTCTCCGCCAAGTTCGGCGACGCGTGTTCATCTGCCGGCTCCATCTTGCACGGAAAGACAGGGAACGAGGGACAGGGCAATAACAAAAAGCAAAAAAGACAAATCTAGGACATGTAAGCCGGAAATGCAACATCCATCAACAAATCACTGGCAAACCTATGCGTGAATAGCCAAAGAAAGCTCGGTACCATGATGCTGTCAAAAACAGACGTTATATCATTGATTTATGCATACTTCTACAAAAGTGGTGCCATGCTGCAGTGGAATGCCATGATGCTGTCGATGACATCCTTTGAAAGAAAGTCGCATCGCCCCATTTTTGAGGACGCAACACACTGCTCTGTGACCTCAGTTGCACGACTTTCTCTGTACGGTGAAACTGTAAACAAAGAATAACAAAAGCACGCAAACGAATGCTTATCATGATGGCACGGATAGCACCATTTTCCTTGCTTTTTCGCTCGATGCACGGACAGTCCCTGAAGCATCAAGCCCGTCAAAATTCTGTGTTTAACAGACATTTCAGGACGCAACACACTTTCTGCGACCCTCCACAGCATGGATCTTTCCTAGCCAGAAATACCACGCTGGTTGAAATACCACGCTGGTTGAAATAAAAAAAAGCCGTGGTGCAAAGAATCACGCTGCGTGATGCACGGACAGTCCCTGTAGCATCACTGTCAGCAATGATATTGCATTGGCCAAAAAAAACTACCACTTGGCACTCTTCACTTTCAAGGGCGTTTCCTCAACCAAGTCGACGGCGTGTCTTTTTTTCGAAGAAATCATCTGCACAGCTGCGATGGCGGCACGCTCGGCCATGATCGCTTTCACCTGTTCCTCCGATTGCAATTTGAAGACTCTTTCCGTAACCAAAACCATGTCGGAGCCATCATCTTCCGCCGTCACCTTGCCGATGACAAGATGCACATTGCCATCACACATGTTGAAGCGAATCGCCTGCTGCAATTGGCAAAAGGCCTCCACCCGGAAATGCTTGGGAAACGACGCCTCCACTGCCACCACCTTCTCATACTGCAGCATGATGACCTTGTCGTCCCCCGTGCCCGTCTCAACGATCTTGGCTTCCTCATCTTCTGCCCGCACCAACACAGTGACATAGCTGGGAAAGATTGCCGCGGCTCGCAGCTTGGTACCGAAGCCAGAGAACAACAGGTCCTCATGAGGGCAAGCGATCGGAAACACCATTCCCGTCGCCCTCTGATTCTCCACTCGAACTACCTTCTTGATCATCGGACGCTGTGCATCCGAATACCTCTGGCAGAGAGCGTGCTGTGCGGCGAGCACCTGAAACTGACACTCGGGCAAATTCTCCTGATCTGTCTCCTGCGACTGGAGGACTCCCTGCGCAGCAGCAGGCAAGTTGGATCTGCCGCCGCCTAGCTTGCGGCCATTGGTAGCCAAGCGGACGTCCACTGGATGACAAAAGCACACGGCCTGCGGACCACGCTTCGTCAAGAGGGCGACCAGATCTTCCTTGCTCTTGGCATTTGCCAGCAACCGCAACCTGTCCCCATCCACCAAGACTCTGTCAACTTCACCAGTGTGATCTGCCAAAGTCACTGTGGCCAAGATGGATACCTCTTCCTCTCGAATCGTTTGGCACTTGTGACTTTCATGACGTTTGCAATGCCCGGTCATCAAATCAACCTTCGTCGCGCAATTCTTGCATGCCGTGTAGATGGGATCCCCCAAGATGCCTGTGACCCAAACGCAGTTCAACTGCACTTCGATGATCTCTTGCTGTGCCTGACAACAGATAATGATAAAGAAAGGGAAAACACAACAAGCAATCAACAAAGAAAGACTCCCAATCACACGGACTAAGCGTGTTCATTACAAGCTAGTTCAGCGCGACACAGCGGCCTCTAACATCGCATCCGTAAGCGCCAGAGAGCACGAAGATACAGTGGCGCAGCACGAAATGAACTTCTCCATGCCATCCGACACCATTCGACGTGAAGCAGTCTGGAGCCAAGGCACGGACAGCGCCTCACCCCGCGTGTCGGACAAAGCCTTCAGTTTCTCGACACGACTGCCTGTGGGATTGACATGCAAAGCACTGAACCAATTCCTGCTGCTATCCATCCAGTGCTCACAGCTCGCCTCGATGCCGGCAGGGATCTTCGACAACAAAGCATTGTCCACCTGCACCACCGAGCCAACATCGATTTCGTTGCCCTTGGCAACAAAACGCCCTCCCCATAGATGCACAGCCAGTTCGTTGAAAGACTCATCCTTCAGCCACAATGTCATCTTTTGGACTCTCATCGTGGGCGTCTCCTTCCGGGTCACCTTTCCAATGACATCCGCCCTCTCCTTTCCTTCGGAATGTTCCGCCAAAACACCAAAGTTGGACCTGGCGGTGGGGAAAAGGCCGCGCAACTTCATCGCACTGGCATGAGCCTCTGCCACCGGCGACACCTTGCCCTTGTTCGTGACATCGGCAGAGAAACCGGACAAAAAAAGTGAATTCTGCACTACAACAGCTTGCGTCAATTGGATGTATTTGGGTTGGTAAAACTCCTGGGCCCGCTTGCGAACACCGCTCTCAGAAGATCCCCGGATCTCTGCATAGAGTCCCTGTCCCTTTTGATCCACGAGCCGAACGATCGACTTCCACCAGGTGCCCTTATCTTTTCCAGGCAACTGCTTCATTTCATGGTACACCGGACGCAAAACCACCATGACCATGTGGGTGTTGCTCTTCGTAATGCGTTCCAAAGTCACTTCTTGCAAAGACATGTTTTCAGACCGCGGTGACAAGAGGCCCGCGAATAGGTGCATGCAGCACCAAAGAAGGCAAGTGAGAAACAAATTATAACAGTGCGTGTTTGGCAGTGATTTTACGCTATGTTGCAGAAATCAATGGCTCTTGCACAAGCCGCGGTCTCGCGGACAGTCCCAACAGAAAACCGTGGCTTGTTTGACATTCTGCATGCAACTGTTTTCGTTTTTGTTGACACATCTTGCTTGCACATGATGCCCAAATTGGTCAATGGATTTGAGCCTACAGCGTGAAGCCATCAACGCAAACACCGTGACAGGACAACATCTTGGCAAGGAAGTGCAAGTACACAACTGCAATTCATAATGAGCATCCACAAACAGTTAGTTCAAGTTCTTACAACTATCCGAAACATATCCCAAAACATGGCACAAAGATGCACCACTAAACTCTGTCTTTTTCGAAGCAAGAGCTGCGAAGCCTGAGCGCGCAGACGATGCCAGTGGAACTGCGTTATTTCCCCATTGCTCGGACAGTCCCTTCCACAATGAGTACCGAACGCAAGTACACATTGCTATAAACATATGAAGCTAGAATCCATCCTGCGCATAAACGCAACCACCTACCACCTCCTCATAAACGGCTGCTTCTATTGGAAAGAAATTCGTTTGACTAGGCGACTTTGCGCACCATCAGTGCTCGGAGTGCTTGCTGCAGAAGCTGCAGAGCCTGAGTTGGGGGAACGCTTCTTGTTTTTTTTGCTTTTCCCTGATATACGAGCCGTGACATTGTGCTGCTCTTCAGACTGGATGGCCTTTAGCTCTTCATGAGGCAAACGGCAAGGACCAGTTGCACGATTCTCTCGAAGTTCTTTGAGTTCGTCAGATATCACCCACTCTGGCAGACTGGATATGGACGCCATGGCAAAGTATTCACCTTCTTCTTTCATTGCATCTTCATTCATGCCTAGCTGCGATGTGTGGTCGGCAGAGTTCAGAGAGGTGAAAGCAGTAACCTCCCCAGTGAGCTTCAGCGAGGCGATGTGCAAGTGATTCCAAACAACAAGTAAGGGTGTCTTACATTGCCACAATCGCGAATTGGGAAGGCCTCCGCTGAGAGCCAAGTAGCCCGCTCGCAGTCGGTTGTTTCCAACCAATTCAGCGGCAAACAAAAGCAGGTCACCTACAGTTTCTGTAGGAGCAGAAGCAAAAATCGGCAAATCTAGAAAAAACCAGTCTTGCGTGCAATCCACTGCAGCTTGCGACAAAGCATCACTGAGACGCACCAAAAAACGCAACTTCTGACAGTTGCATGGATGTTGGGAGCAACTCATGTATTCACTGCCTGGTCGACGTTTGTACCATTTACCAGGTTCAGGATATCGCGGTATGAACCCTGGAGGAGAGTAGAAACCATCACTTCTCTCCTGGGCATGTCTTTCCCACAGTATTGTGCGTGCCGGTCTCAGTGCAGCCCACGCATAATTTTCATAATCTGAAAGGGTGGGGATTTCGACAAGTAGCCACGACTGTTGTTTCACTGTCAGCTGTATCTGGTCTTCCACCTTCGGAACAAATCCTTTAATCGCAGGATTGAAACCTTTAATCTCAGGATCGCGGGTGACACTCTCAAATAGTGGCATCCCAACATCCACACAATCAAGATCTTTTGCAGATTTCAATGAAAAGGAAATGGGCTGAGAGTTCTCTTCGTTCTCCTCGATGTTCCTGAAATGAAATCTTCTTAAAATGCAGCGGTACTCCATGGCATAAACAGGTCAGGCAAGAACGGTCAGAGGCTGAATCTTCATGGTGAGCTGAAGGGAAGCCTGTAAATTGTTCATAATTTCAAGATTCCCAAATCTAAACATATCATAAGAACTTACACACCTATCATATTTTCAGAATGTGTCAAATCTCGAGATCTCACGGACAGTCCCTTCAGAAACCTCGAGAAGTGCCACAACCTTTGAGGGCCTCTTGTCCCGCACGCCTACACACTTTGGTCATGCTACATGGTACGTTGTTTCCAGTTGCGTGATGCTTGTCTTCTCCAATCTTTTATGTGAATCTGAGCCCATGAATGATTAATCTACATCAATGTATGAAGCAAAGAGATCATATGGCAGAAAACAATGAATTTCTATGAAGGGACGCAAAGTATACTCGCTGAAGCTCAAGACTGGGATCGCGACTCCTGAGCTTGTGATAACAAAGCACCATTCTCTGGAGAACGACCTGCAAGGTCAAGACCGAACCACTGCTTCTCACCCCGGCAAATTGCAGAGCAAACTCTAAACATGAGAATTACATGCAACTGAGCACATGACTCCTGAGTTCGACATGGCACCCGATCCCATCGTCAAAAGAGGCTCGGTACCATGATGACACAAATGACACGAGACAGCATTCTCCATGAGGCGACGTTGCGAAGCAAAGCTGGTGACCTGATGCATCACTTCATGAAAACATCATCAGCAAATCTCAGTACCATGATATCTCACATCAAACATGTAACACTACCCTACTCCGATCGTGTTAACAGAAATACAACACAAAAAGCTCAGTACCCCGACGCCGTGAATTAAAACTATTACCTCACTTTATGATACAAATTCCACACAAATAGCTACAAAAAGCTCAGTACCCCGATCCCACAAAAGGTCAGCGCAGACAAGAAACTGTGGGGCCCAAGTGTGTCAATAGTCCAATGACCTTCTTACGATACTCGATGAGCACACGGCTGGCATCGGCACCTCCACTGTGTTTCTCCACTAAATGTTCCAAAAACTCTTTCTGTCCGCCAGTTCCAAAATTGCACAGTCTGCACTGGTAACGCTCCAGCGGATTCTGAACATCATCATCATAAGACCATAACACAAGGCCAGACAGCGCTTCACCAATAGCAGTGATAGCTGGACTGCAGTCCAACATCTGCGCAACTTCACGCAGCTTGATCTCAAACTTCATATTCACATTTTCCAACACAGCAAAAGCTTTCTTGGCAACTTGCAAATTCTCTGGCAAGGCCTCCATAGCAATGCCCGCAGCAACATCCATCTCCACATCCGCCTCCTCAGCAACTTCCACACATGAAGAGCCAGTGCCGTCAGGAACAACTGCATTACCATCCCCTTCCACATCCACCTCCTGAACACCTTCCACAACAGAAGTGCCAGCGCCGAAAAGGATGGCACTCAATGGCACAAAAGCGGCCTTGGAAAGAGTTCCTTCAGTCCACCCAGGAATCGACTGCATCAAGTTGCGTTCCGTGTCGGATCTCCATTTGATACCATTCTCTGCATCATCCGAGGCCTCCAAACAATCCAACTTCAACTCCTTGATGTTGTCCACATCGCCAGGGAATGCAGCTTTCATGGAACGACAGCGCACCTTCTTCTCCTTCTCCAGATACTCCGACACCCGCTTGAACAGCACACCGTCTTCATCTGAAGTCGGCAACCGCAAGCACTGCTGCGCTTCCTGCCATTGTCGTATATCCAGTTCCAATTGCACGACAACCGGAGACACTCCGCTCCTGTACGCACAATGTCATGATCAGTATGCAATTCCTCGAGATCTCACGGACAGCCCCTACAGAAACCTCGAGAAATGCAACAAATGTTGAAGATATCTCTTTGCCAATCCCTGATATTTCACTAACATCCAACGTGCATATAAGAATTTCGGATGTCCAAAAAAGATTTGGCTACCATGATGACGCACATGATGCATAAATAACATACGTTCTCTCATTCATCAAGCAAAAAAAAAGCTCGGTACCATTATGCTTTATATGACATAGATTATTTCATTTTATCATGCAAATACCCAAATAAATTGCCTAAAAAAGCTCGGTACCATGATGTTGTTATTCACAAAGGTGACAAAGGTAAGAAAACTACACAAAACATACAACAACGACACTGCAAGTACACTCGTCCTGGAATCACGAAGTTCTCGCACCGTCAATGGATCGTGACGCGAGCGCATAGCTTGCAATGCACGCGTGTCGCGAGGATGAAGTAACCGCGTCAGCAAAAGCCAAGCAAACTGTAAACACTTCTTGTTCCCATAGCGAGCAGATGGAAAGCATTCGGACCAATAGCACACCTCCACGTCCTGGTCAAATCTTTCCCAACCATATCTCCGCATCAGGCATCGCAGGTACGTCGCGTCTGCAGCATCCAGCTTACCTCGACGCCGGCGCACCTCGCCCTCATCATCCACCACCAACGCTTTCGTGCCCCACAGGATGCCAAGGACCACCTGCAAGCAACACAAAGACCAAACCACCGCGAACCGGCAAGACACGAAAAAAAAAAACGAACGCAGGCCATACAATAGTTTCGACAACCACTCACCTCCACCACATTGTCACGATCCTCATAACCACCAGAACTGTCCCATTCACAAGCAGCTGTAAGTGTGTGGACATCCCACAAACGGCTCGCCACTTCCAACATGTCCGCGTCGATGGTGAACCCCACCAAACGACACCATTGAAGTCGTCTTTCTTCCGATGCACTCAGCAAAACACAGGACAACAATGCCACGACCTGATGCCGCAGCAAATGCTCCATGCCAATGGAGGCGAAGTAACCTGGTAAATCCAATAAATCAACAGAATCCGTGACAGCTTTGCTGGGCCACGATTGCTGCACTTCATCGAATGTAGCAAGAAGCGGCAACGTCGCATCCACCACACGAGCATCCAAAGAAGCAAGCGAAAGATGCAATCCCTCCACCTGACCCATGGTCTTGTCGGCCAAAACCGCCAAAATACGCATGCGATCTTTTTGTTCTGGAACAGCATCTCGAAGCAATGTAGTATCAGGCGCCGAAGGACTTTCCAAACATCGTTTCAGCCAGTCCCACAAGACACTTGCACCAGATGCAAGGGTATCATCGTGACACGGCTCCTGCTAAAAAAATCAAAAAAAACAGCCGCACTTGACGTTTTTGCAATGCCGACAGTCTACAATTGCCGGCATAATCACTATTCAATTCTCGAGATCTCACAAACAGCTCCTATAGAAACTTCAAGATGCTTTTTTTTTAATTGCACCCAACCTCCGTGGAAGTCACCAAGACTTTCATCAACGATCTGCGCAGCTCTGCTACAGGCAACCAATTCCGGTTGGAATGTGTCTCCACACCACCCGCAGTGGCCAGGACTCGAAGCTCGTCTCTTCCTATTCCGTACAAAGCACGATGGAGCCACTCCTCACCCTCTGAAACAGCTCCAAGGTGAAGTTCTTCCAATTTGGCAGCCGATGCTTCGTCCACCTACAGCATGGAACACACCGCCACCACAAAACAACCATCATCCTACATTTTTTTCCCGCTCCTCATGCATATCAATGAAATAATAACACATAGATCCACTACATCACAAACGAAAATTGGCATGATCACTATGCAATTCTCGAGATCTCACGGGCAGCCCCTACAGAGACCTAAAGAGATGCAACAAATGTTGAAGATATTTGTTTGTCGATCCCTGGTATGTCTCAAACATGATGCCATGTCTGACAAACATGCAAATTCGGTCACAAAAACAACTCATGTCACAACACATTTTTTGGTTGAACCCAACCTCCGTGGAAGGTTCCAAGACTTTCATCAACGAGTTGCGCAGCTCTGCTACAGGCAGCCACGCCTTGCCGGATCGTGTCTCCACACCACCCGCAGCAGCCAGAACTCGAAGCTGACGAGCTGACATTTCCGACAAAGAACGACTGAGCCACTCCTTGCCCTGTGAAACAGCTCCAAGGCGAAGTTCTTCCAATTCGGCAGCCGATGCCTCTTCCACCTGCGGCATCCGACACACTGCCACCACAAAACAAAAATCATCCCACAACATCGCACCATGTGACAAACATTCAAATTCGGTCACAAAAACAACTCATGTCACAACACATTTTTTGGTTGAACCCGACCTCCGTGGAAGGTTCCAAGACTTTCATCAACGAGGTGCGCAGTTCTGCTACAGGCAGCCACGCCTTGCCGGATCGTGTCTCCACACCACCCGCAGCAGCCAGAACTCGAAGCGGACGAGCTGACATTTCCGACAAAGAACGCCTCAGCCACTCCTTGCCCTGTGAAACAGCTCCAAGGCGAAGTTCTTCCAATTTGGCAGCCGATGCCTCTTCCACCTGCGGCATCCGACACACTGCCACCACAAAACCACCATCATCCTACAACATCGCACCATGTGACAAAGATTCAAATTCGGTCACAAAAACAACTCATGTCACAACACATGTTTTGGTTGAACCCAACCTCCGTGGAGGGTTCCAAGACTTTCATCAACGAGTTGCGCAGCTCTGCT